TTAAGACATTAAGAGTTAATTAATTATCAATTAACCTCATAGATAGTTCATTAAAAGTTATGTTAATGGGATAATAACGGTGAGAATTTTAAGCACAGTCTCATTCAAACTTCAATGGAGATTAATTTAGCTCAAATATTTTTAAGTTATATAATTATAACTTCAAGAGAAGCAAAAAAAAAAAAAAGTTAAATCACTAATGTTTTTAAGTTTCTCAACTGTATAATACAGTATTCTATGTATAAAATACTATTATTTTTTACAATGAGAATGTGTTTAATAATGTTTGTGTGTTAAAATACAGCATTAGTAAAAAATTAAACTTAATACGCTGTAGGTAATATTATATGAAGCCCTATAGGTTAGGATACAATACAATAAAATTCTAAACATACACACTTTCAATAGTTTATAAACACTTTAAGAAATGGTAGATAATGAAATAAAATAGAATTGTGTTGTTAATTAAAATATTAATAAGATTTTTCAGAAAATATTTTATATAATTTCTTATGTTAAATGTATACCAAATATAAGTAGATATCATTAAACAAAGAACCGTATGTTAAAGCCAAGATAGAACACATAAGAAATCACCATGAAGGTATTTAATAACATTTTATATCATTCTTAAAGTAATACTTTTAAGTACCTAACTACAACATTATAGGAAAATTAATCTCGTTTCAACAGTATCGATTGTTCATAATATAAAAAAGCAATAACCAATAGGTATAAACGCAATAGTGTGTAATGTGCGAGGATAAACAAAATAACATTATTATAACGTGCACTGACCTGTTTGATATGCATTTTTTGATATTAATGCGTAACGGTGAAACGTTTAATTCTTTTGAACTAGTTTAGTTTCCGAAAAAAACATAATAAGTTCACTTAGCGTTTATTCAGTTTAAAAAAAATAATAATAATGAAACATAATCAAGTAAACAAAAATCAAAATGGGACCCTTGTAGATACTATTACTATTATTAGTGATAAAAATGACGCGGTGAAGTGATAGAGGAGATGGGTATGAACCTCCGTGCAAACAACGACAATTATCAAAAGCGTCGTATGTTCAACCTACAATTCGCATCTTCATTGGCATTTATTATTAATTATATAATTACTATTGGTTATTACTTATTACTCATTACTTATTACGAATTGCAACTGCAGTATTGCCCTCTCTATAATATTATAATGTATTTTCTCGGTCACCGGCGTCCAGATAGCAAAACGGTATCATTCGATATTAAAGGATAGGTACAAGTCCCTAAAATTATGTTTAGTACGACCAGGACCGTTCCAAGGTTTTTTGGGGACAATTAATGTGGGAGCTCTTTGACCATCATAATAAGATATGAAAAAAAAAAAAATAAATACTCATTGACATCAACAAAATTCTTGCAAATGTATTTTTCTGGAACTTAACCGCATCTAATCTCATTAAAATATACGCGCTGGTACATTTTTGGGTTAAGTACATTTTAAATAACTTCTATAATAATAATATAACTATAATATTACCAAATATACTAAAAAAAAAAATACAATTTTTATCTCTAGTTGATAATAAATATTCATGAAAAATAGGAACTTGGATGTTATTAAAATTTAATAAAAAATTAGGTAAAATAAGAAAGTTAAAAAAAAGGAAATTGTATTATTTTATTATTTTAAATAAAATATTAGTATTTAAATATGAAAACTTTTCTTATAGGTTTGTTTTCAGCAAAGTTGTTTATTACATCATAATCTATACCTAGTCTATTGTTACTGGTTAGTGTCTCAATAAGTCGACTATTCATTAGTGAATAGCGACACTACGATCTATAGTCTATACTATATGCCCTCATAAATATGTAAATATCATACTAAAAAAATAAATAAATAATGATAAATTTTGTAGAAACAACATTAGCAAAGTTTTACTTAGATCATTTACTGCCAGAAATAATTAATCTAAAATTTTCTCCTGACAAGTAACACGTTTTGTTTTATATACTATTTTCAATTAAAATAAAATAGGTAATTTAACTACTTACTTTCTCTATCTAAAATTTTTATGTTACCTACCTAGTATTATTAATTATATACCAACTAAGTAAGGATCATTATTACTAAATTTAATAATATCTATAGGAGTTATAAATCGTATTTACGATTTATTATTTTAATATACAATATAATATCACATCGCATAATTATTTCTATTTTCCAAAATATTTACGTATTTTTATGTCCCATCGTCGACAAATCAGATAAGAAATAACAATAATGATTAATGGATTTTGCATTGATGTGAGTCGCAAGTGATGGTAAGAAAGTATCTAAGTATACATACACAGCATCGATACATCAGTCACTAGTCGTAGATATTTTTCTCCAAAAATAATAAGATACCTACAGTTTTCTTCCACTGTCCATTTTCCACCAAAAAGGAATTAAGAATAAAAATATTATGTTATATTATATTTAATGTAATTATTACTAATAAAAATTGAATTGAGTTATTAACAATTAAGCATCTATATTTTATTATAGTTAAATGACATTTTTTCAACGAATGAACCTACTTACCTACCTGTTTCAAGAAGAAAAATATTAGAGTCTAGGGAGAGGCTGGGGCGCTTAGTACCCTTTGACTATGATTTAGCTTACAAAAAAATATTTTTTGATTTTAAATAATACACATAAAATTGTATTTTGTCACTCAGGAAAAAAACTAAAAAGAAATAAAGAATTAAAGAGTTCCAATTTATACAAGCTCTTTGGTGTTTCATATACTTTGCCATAATAAGTAGTGTAACTAGTAAAAGATCGTTTTCTGCGATGAGGCGAGTTAAAACATGGTTACGGTTAACTATAATGCAAGAACGGTTTTCAAATTTATCCATAATTGATATGTATCAAAATTATTAAACGATATTGACATTTGACAGAACAAATTTTAAATAATTTTTCAACTGCTGACGAATAACGATAGAAAAATACTGTCAATGTATTACTAATATTAAAATGTTAACCGTAGTTTAAAGTTAACTTGTTTTCTTTTTTCTTACAATCTTACTCTCATATTACAGGTAAACAACACATTTAGTTATAATAGTAATTAGTAACATTGGCGCCCATTGAGGGGGGGCAAGACAGGGCACTTGCTCCTCCTCTGGAAAAAAATATTAAAACAATATTACCTTATTACCGAGGCAAATTATTTGTTGAAATCACTTTTAAGATATGAAATAAATATAAAAATATACTCATTGTTATCGTATATTAACATCATAGATAGGTCGCATTCTGTAATCCGTATAACCTATACGTAAAATTATTTATCGCAGATAATTTGTGGTAAATCTATAAAGATCACAATATAGGTACTACAAATATTTTAACCTAACGCAAACAAGGATACTTTCATTCAGGATGTCATTAATATGTTTGGAATAAAACGAAGAAATTTGCAGTTCTTATTTACTGATACCGAATAATATACTTAATTATATTATTTAATTTCTATTTTTTTATATACTTATTAAAATTATTATTTATTTATTTATTTATTTATTTATTTATGTATTTATTCGTATGGCAATTATTATTAATACACTATATATATAATATATACAAATAAAAATATAACATACATGTATAGTGTATACATTTATATGAGAAAAATAACATTAAATCTTTATTATCTTACATTCAAAATTTTTTTTTTTTTGCCCCCCCCCCCCCTAAAATATTACCCATGGGCGCCCATGATTAGTAATCTTTTTTTAAGAAACTAGTAAGATACTTGTGGTAGATGTATAAAATGTTGAATAAAGTATACCATTTTTATGATTGATTTACATTGCTTACGATAGTGTCATATACACAAAAAAACAAATTGTTGTAAATCCAATATGTTCTTTTCTTGGTTTAAAATCTAAAATATGTTGTGATTGTATGTTTAGGAGAGCAGTAGGATGGTCCCCTATAGGATATTTTAAGTTCATAGTTTTGTTAGGGGAGTTGTAGCCTCCCCAAAATTTTAATCCTAGTTATGCCTATGTATTAGACAAATGAATAATTATTTTACTTTTTGCACTATCTAGAAATTTCTTAATTTTGCTACTTACTAATTGCATTGATGATTGCTACATGTGCCATTAGTTTGATCAGTAGACTTTAATTTTTTTAGTATTTTTGTACTTCTTATTTTACAATAAATATTAGTTTGAATTTAATACAATATATAGCCACATAAATATATATGGTAATAAATATAATACAATACCTAGTATTACAACACTGCTGGTGCCGGCTAAATATTTTAATATTTGAAGGAAAATTAACATAATTTAAGTCCTAAAAAAAGTTTAAAGGAATTTGATAACATTTTTATTTATTTAAGAATATTATTAATATTTGCAAGTTGTGTTTTATGTGTAGGACAATATTTTTTTTCCTTACAACCATCAAATTGATTTTACACCAATCAAACTAAAAAAAAAAAAAAAAAAAAAAAAAAAAAATGTACTATATATTACTAGAATCTAAAGGACTAAGAATGGTTTCTCGTTGTTTTCTGTATTATAGAACAACTGATAATGAATGTTAACTTTAAATCGTTATTTCTTATTTCATAGAAGAAACTTTATAGGACTATTTAGTTATTAAGTAAAAAAAAAAAAACAAATCAAATCATTAATTTATTATTTATTATACTTTGTTATATTGACATCTATAAAACACTTATGTTCTATTTCATTTATTATACACATTAATTTATAACTAGTCAAATATACTTGAAGTTATAATAATTATGTTCTGTTAGCAGCTACAAAAATAAATGTTAATATAGAGCCAAACAATTCTAATATAGTTATACAAATGATTAAAAATAAAAATTTTTAAGGAAAAAAAAATAAGCATAAGTAATAGCTAGTAAGCAAAACCGAAAGAAATAATTAAGTAAGTATATCCATTCAATTTTTAAATAAATCTTATATTTAAATATTTGATTTTAATAAATTGTTGCCATTTGATATAATATTATCTAGAAACAAAATAAATAAAATATATAAATTATTATTAAGACTAACATTTAATATTTATTAGAACAAGGTTTACTTTAATATTGTTTGTGTTGATAAAATTAAAAATATGTTATAAATAGTAGTAATAATATGATATCCCTCCAATTATTTCTATTGAAATATTTAATATTTTTTATTTATTAGAATGGAATCTCATTTTACTAATTCCTTGGGTTACTTTTTTAGTGTAAAATACATATTTTATCATTTAATTTTTAATTATTTGTTTTATATAATGAAGTACCTCATATAGATATGTTATATTAAACCAACCAACATTGATCAAAAATACTTCAAATAAAAAAACCATAATATGTTACACTATTTTTTTCACATGACTTAAAATATTACATATATGGTATTGCATATATTATATTGAATTATATAGGTAGAAAATACTTTTAATATTTGTCTAGTGTAAAATAATATAAAAAATATAACAATTTTTTTTTAAAAATCTTACCAAATATTTGAATTAACTCCATTATTTTAGTTCTATTTATTTCATATAATATTGTATCATTTCTGAAAAAAAAAAAAAAAATTATTTACACAATAACAAAAGTGTATGTGTTACATTAAAATATATGAAATAGAAAATAATTTTTAATTGACAATAAATAAAACGGTTAATGCTGCTAACATACATTGAGTAGTTAACAGGTATAATATTATACCCATTTAATTTAAACATTTACGGTGTTCTTAAATTTCATAATAATTAACATAATATTTTTTTCTCCATTTTACATACATATAATATAGTTGAAACCTCTCACTATTTTATATTTATTGTTGAAATCAAGGTTCTAAAAATTTATAAATTATTAAAATAACTATAAAAATTAACAATATCTGTGTCTTTTTTAAAGTTTTGTTTAGTATTTTTATTTTTAGTTACTTAATAATTATAAGTAGCTTATAAATAAAATTTTTTATAAAATACAGAAAATATTATTATTCATCATAATCTTTATAATTATTTGGTATTTTTAACCTGTAATTATGTATTACAAAGTATTTTATAAAATCAGAATCATAAAAATATAATAGTTACCTACCAAATAATGTATACAAGTACTGTACAAATTTACAATACACAAAAATACCAAATAACTTTATTTTCAATACCTACAGGAAAGTAAAAGTGAACTATATATGTAATATATTTTCTTATTTTTATAGAAAATTTTTTAAAGGAGGAAAATAATAAAAATAGTCAACCCTCTTGATCCTAACAATTGACTATAGGCTTTTAAAAGTGACCAAGGAAAATCTTCTATTAGCCAATACCCAAATTATGTCATTTAGCTACTTTGCAATTGTAAGTTAAGGAGTCATACATAAAATTATACAGTAAATACTAATAAAATTCAATAAATGCTATAAGTATTAAATAATTAAACAAAAATTAGTAGATACTTTTTGTTGTAAACAAAAATGAAACCATGTATACTTTAAAATTTGCTTAGCAAATATTAACATAAATATGATATAATTTTTTAAATGTTAAAAAATTTACATATAAAGAAACTTAAGAAACATACTTTATTGTAAAATTGATTACTACATTCATGTCACTCGTAGAATGCCAATAATTGCATTTTTATTTCATAAAGATATCCAATATCAACCAAATACCTGTGGTGCATACTTACAAACATCAATGAATATTCAAATTTTCATAAAAACTTTGAAAATAGGAACTTTTGCCAAAATTATTGGTAATCACCGATGTTTGTAATATTTACCACATAATGATACACCTTATTATTTACACTATATATTTATAATAATAAGAATATAAAACAGATGTAAGTCTATAATGTATAGGAGTCACAAGCAGTGATTTATAGTATTTATACATATCTCTCCCCCCCCCCTTAAAAAAATCTTAAATACATCACTTGTCTAATATACTTATATATATATACTAGTTTATAGTACTTTATCCTAATTTTATCATTTAATGTTGAGTTTTTAGGATTCCTACAGAAATTTTATAATAAGGTATTTGTTTAATATTCCCTCTCTCTACCTTAAAAATAATTGCCAATTACAAATTTTAATACTCATAAATTTTGTGATATTTTGTATTATATTTTTAAGCATAAAGTTAAAATCTTATGAATTTTAAACTACAAAACAATTTTCAAATTTTTGTGATTTTTATTTTTATTATTACCTAAATGTGAACTTCAAACTATTGAATCAAACAACTAATGATATTTATTTATTTTTTCATCGCTGTACTAACAACTTAGGAAACCTCCAATTTTAAATGTTTAAAAAAAGTTCAGAGCTGAAATATTTTTAAAATTGTATTATGTTTAGAAAATGCTAATATGAATATTTAGTAAACATATTTTTAATTATTTACATTTATTCATTTTAAACTTCGTATTTTTGAAAATTCATATATAAGTTCTAATTCCTGTTTTTCATCAATTTTTTTGTAATTTGAAATCTAACTGGGAATTCCATACTTTTGAAATATTTTTCTAATATAAAAATGATACAACAAAAATAACATAATATTATAAAATAATTATAGCTCTGCTCAGAACAATTCTTAAGTATACATATTATACCTATAATATATATCTTAAAATGAGAATATATAAACTTATGCTAAAATAATTTTATAATAATTTTTTACTTTTCATGTTTTTCAATTATTTCCATTTTATGAAGTCCATCTAAAGCAGATTTAATTACATCTTTAATCAAAACATAAGGATGTGTGTGCAATTCTTCAACTTTCATGTGAATTAATTTATAAATTAATTCCTCTGAAATTATTTTTTGACGAGCCTGAAAATTGTTTTACATTTAATACAACTTATTTAAATAGATTAAAAGTACTATAAAATTAGTTACGTCTATCAAACAACTATATATAAGTCGATAACATGTCATAAATGGATTGATAGTTAAATAGCGAAGTAGTTCTTTTTCTTTTTCATGTATATGGAGATACATTGAAATACTATGTTTAAAATCCTATAAAAAAAAAATTGCTTTAGATTCATTTTTATGACTCATAAGTATAAAGTCTACTTCATAGGGCTAAAGAAATAAAAATTATTTTAAATATATGCAAAATTATCATACTTACTTCTTTCTGACAGCCTTCAAAAAATACAAATTCAAACTCGAATAGTCTTCTTAATAAAATAAACTTTTCTTCTAAATCTAAGATGCCTAAAATAATTCAAATATTACATTAAAATTCTATTATAATATAAATGACATCCAAATTATTTAAATATAAATTAAATTTGAATAATCCATTATTTTATTGTAAATATGTACAAAATTAAGTTGTATAATATGAGTAGCATATAGACAAGATAGATTTAGTTAAGTTATATCATTTTTTTGTGATATAAGAACAAAGATTTTTAATTGGGGATTTTTCTGCAAAAAACAAAGTACATTGATAATCTAGTTTATATGACAATATGACATGTTTGATATTTGTATAGGTACATATGAAGTTAAGTTAAATAATAAACTTAACAAATTACATTTTTTAAATTTTTTTCTATGTAATTTTTAAATGTTTCTGTAATATAATGGATATAAATGGATTAAATATAATAATATAATATCAATTATTCACTTACCATTGTTCCAAATTATTTGACGTTTTGAAATTAAAATTATAAATGCAATATTTATAATAAAATGTAATGAAGGATTGACATAAAGTTGATTTAAAATCAATGGGAATGCATTATCAAATAATTCAGTTTTAAAATTTAGGTTGCCTATAAAATAAAAAAAATTGAGATTTTATTAAACTATGAATAATAATATATATTTGACATAATATGCAAATATACAATAAATAATATTAAAATATGGTATGACTCATGGCTAAAGATTATATAATTATTATTCTAATTTGTTTTCAATGTAGTACCTAAATATAATTTTAGGCATATAAAAACATTTTTAAAGTTTGAAAAATGTATTAATTTAGATTTTGAGCTATATTAAATTAATCAAAAAACCGTTAAGATTTGTCTAAAAATGGTCATGAATTTCTCAAAAACAAATGTGCAATTCTTAAATAACTTTACAAAAATTTAACTTACATTTTAGTTCCAATATAGTTTATATCTACATGATACAATTTATGCAATTTTAAGAAATTTTTTTTAACAAACATTATTTTACAGTAAAACTTATTCTATTTATGTGCTGCTTTATTCAAAATTCAAAAATATTTAATAAATATCATTAATATTATCAATTCATGCATTTTTAAAATAGTTATATTTTAAATGACTGTAGTTAGATAATATGTAATAAGTATAATTGGAAATAGAGAAAATATCATTTTTGAAGTTTGTTTTTTGAATAAAATACATAAGTTTTGATATAATAATTCAAAAAAATAAAAATATTAAACTACATTTATGTTAATAAAAATTATTTTACCTGATAAATGATTTGGATAAATGTTATTGTACTTTGAATAGTGCTTTTGAAAATGTATGATATTGTCTTTCAATGTGATAAAGTGTTGATGCAGTTGAATAGTATTAATAATTCTTCTAGTTATATCAATATCTGAAACATTGTAATTTGTATTTAAATATAATTTAAAAAATATATTGCACTATTACTATAACAATAAGTTTTTTTTTTGATAATATTTAAGTAATTTTAATTAATAAATATAAAACAAATTAAATTTATTCTAATATTTTTTTAAAGGATGTCAGTACACTATCGATTTGATTTTACTGATTCACGCACAATATAGAAAATTTGTGTTTAGTAGAACAAATCTATGTTAACTTAAATTCAAATTTTTAATTTATTTTTGATTAAATTTTTATGTTTATAATGAAAAGTACTGAAATATAAATTACATTAAGTAGGTATTAAAAGTAATTAATTTCAGCTTTGTAAAATTGTTAGTACCAAATTAGATAAGAAAAATTTAATTTAAAACTTCATTTAAAGCTTTTGATGTGTATAATTTATTTTATCTATCAATAGAATACTATTATAGTATATAATGTCATTGAGTATTTTGTACATTGCAATTATACAAACTTATAATTGATATATTCAAATATTTTACTAAATGTTAAACTTAATATATGTAATATTTAGTAATGTTGTTATAATTTACCTTGCACTTCAATTTGAGCCCCACATTTTTTAAAAAGTTTACTTATCCAACTTATTTGATATGTTACTTTATCTAAATGAATATCTTCAGTATTATTTTTAGATAAGTTATAAATTAATGCAACTGCTAAAATATTAAAATATGATAAAATCATGTTATGTTGTTGCCTATGAATAAAAATAAATATTCTATTACTTTACAAACTTTACATTTATATTATATCATTTATAGCTTGCATATAATTAATATCGCATATAATTTACCTATAAACAATTTCATGAGCAAGGGTTAACACTATATTATGATTTTCATTATTTTTTCCATTTTGATTAATATCTTTAACATATTTTTGAAGTGAAAAAGGAGAACCAAAATTAATATAAATGTTACCATATTGGTCATCCATATTTTTAATACTATTAATTAATCCCTAAAAAATAATTATTATTATTACATTTTTCAGTAAAACATATATTTATAATATTAAATCCAATTTTAGTTACTATATTTTTAATTTCAAAAAAAGTAAATTAAATGAACTTGTAACATTGATTTATTCAAAAGTATAAAAACTGTATTTGTATTTATTCTGCTCTCTGGTCAGATACCAGAAGATTAGTTTCCATTCTTTGTAGTTTTAAAAGTTACAAAAAAACAAAATTTTAGTCATAATAATTCAATTGCTATTTTGTATATGCATAGTAAAATATAATACATAGGTATATTCTTTCATTTTTTTTAAATTTTATATATAAATCTATTTAAAAAATATAAATTATTGCTGAATAAATTTTTATTTTCAATGATTGTGCACATTATGTATCTTTTATTAAAATTCTTGCAGGACTAGGTTAGGTTAGGTTTATTTAGTAAAATAAATAATTAATTACATTTATTATACATAACTTAACTATATGGTTCAGATATTATTTGTAGCACCAGTATCAATTAAAGCGATTATTTCAGAAACCTGTTAAGAGTAAATTTTAAAATTCCCAGTTTTCCACAGAAAGGCGTTAAATTCCATTTATTAACGAGTTTCTAAACTAAACACATTATTTGACCAAAATTAAACACGTTCTAAGACGGAATTTAACACATTTTTCATTATTTTGGCGTATGACAGGTTTCTGAAATAATCGCTTCAATTATAAAAAATAATAAGAATATACACCTACTTAATGATTTATTATGAATCTATTAAGAATTGAGTAATTATAGCATAAACACATTTACAAGTTTATTTTTTATGCAAATAAGTTGTTAAAAACCATGTATCAATAATTGTCTTTAAATTATAATATACTAGTATACTACTTTCAAAATTCTCTACTATGATGTATTTATTGTTAAGTTACTGAAATTGTGATATAATGTTAGAAAACTTAATACATACAATTTTAATTGTATTATAGTAGGAGTAGTAGTATATATTTATATTGAACAAATTTGTTAAATTTCCTAAATGGTATGAAATGGATTATTATGTTATTAAAATCCAAATTAGTAGTTCTAAAAATTTATCAATATTTTTTCATTCATGTTTATAAAAATATTTATTTTAAAACTGGCTAAATAACAATGTCTTGACTAATCACATTATAAATTTAAGTGTCATTAAAAAAAAAAAAACTAAGTTAACTTAATAACTTTTAACTTATTTAAATAGTAATAATGATTTAGTTAATTTTACTAGATTATGATGCTTAAATAACTTGAATTAGTAAAATAAAAATCTAAATAAAAATCAATAAAAATCATTGTATTTTTTTAAATTATTATAATTTGATTTCTAAAATACATGAAAAAATTCAAAATTAATGTCAGCAACTTTAATTTTGAATTAAAAATACAAGTAAAAATAAAATCTAAAAGTTTAAAAAGTTAATAAAAAATGAAATTTTTTTATTACATACCAAAGTGGTTTCTTTTGGCTTAGGAATTCCTAAAAGTTCATAACTAAATAATTTGTCCTCAAGAAGACGATCATAATTAATTGATATAGGAATAATTATGACATCTTGAACTTCATTTTTTAATAAAACATTAACAATACACTTAAGTATTCCTGAAATTAATAAATTAATAATTATTAATATATTATGAACCTTTAAAAATAAGTTTAAAACTAAATTTCTTATTTGAGATATTTATCATATTCAAATAAAATAAATTCTAGAATCACAAAACTTATAAAAGCAGCTAAATGCAGTAATAAATCTATAAATTATCTGCATATATACTTAAAAATAATATGGTAATAGTTTACCTAGCTTTGGATGAATAGACTTATTAGAGCGACTGCGAGTACCTTCAATAAAAAACTGCAAGGGCGAACTTTCATAAGTTATCAAATGTTTAATATAAGTATACAATACTGATCGGTATATAATATCTTGTGCATTTTTCCCTCGATGCAAGAAAAAAGCACCGCATTGTTTCAATATATTCCCCATTATTTTCATGTTTTTAAAATCTATAAAAAAAAAAAATACTTAGCTTTTAAGCATTTAATATGTTTTAATAATTTTTACTTTGTAGTAAAGTAATAACATACAAAATAAAAATAAGCGTAAAAATATTTAATCTACTGATAATGTAACAACAAAACTTAACACCTTACATGCAATAAAAAGATATATAATAATTTTTATTTGATGACAACATCTTGATTGTATAACAGATAAAAAATTTAAATAAATAAACTAATAAACAATTTATAACAATATTAATAACTAAAAAAAGAAAATTAATTTTCCTTATAAGTGCTTATGTACAAATTTTATTTAATAAATATTATTTACTTGTCCAAACTAATTATTATTTATACAAAATTATTACAATACTGTTGATATATAAATTATACAATTTTCAAATAATAATATACACTAGTGGCATATTTTGAAGTGTTCTTATGTCGGATATCCCCGACTTTAAAAAACATAGTCCAATACCTATATGTGTATTTTAGTCACGTTTACAAAAGTATCTATACATACATTGCAGAAGTGAAATTTATTTTGTTAGATCTGACGAAATGTTTTGAGGTATATTTTGGATATCCTCAAAAAATTACTCAAAATATACCACTTATATAAACTATTTATAATTCATAACTTAGCTTTTTTCTAGTATTTTATAACAGGGATAGGCAACTTTTTATAAACATTTTTGCAACTTAATGACTAAAAGTATATGATATACTAAAAATAAAGTAAGCACAGTAAATTTTAGTTTTTGAAAATATATCAACAGTTATCCAAATGCATTAAATTTTTTACCATTTATCAATATTGTATTGTTTTAATTTTAGTTTCTAAGAATTCATCATTTTAATACATATGTATATGTACATAATATAGTTTTTTTTTAAGTTTTAAAACTGTTATAAATTTAAATTTGTATGATTGTATTGTATTCTTAATTATCTGTCATTAAAACTGTTACATTAAAATCATTATGTATTTATAAGCGTAGTATTTATTTTTGTAATAAAAATTATAATTATTATTGAACTACATGTTTTTTTTTTATCTATTATTATTTATTATTAATTTGATTTTTAAATAGACATCTAATTTTCACAATAATGTTTAACCATTTTTAAAATGTAACAATGTTTTTTTTTTTGTAAATTAATTGTTTAATTTAATATCTTATTTTGTAATTTTATTAGTTTTTCAAATTAAAAATTTAAAAAAATATAGTTTCAAATTTTAACTTAATAGTCACACTAAATTGCCAATCCCTGTCCTAAGGCTTATTTCACATCTGTGTAAAATATATTCAAACTTATTATGGAAAAAAATTATAAAAAAGAACTATTCTACTTTTATTTCTACTGCATAATTTATTGTAAAAATACCCATTGCTGCAGCAACATATGGAATATCAATATTATAGTTGAAACAAATGAATGCCATTAATATAAAATCTTGGTAACTTCTATGACTTGGAACAAATATCACTGGAGTTTTGTGAAAGTTTGATTTCATCTATTATATTTTAAAAATAAGTAATCATAAAATTAAATACTTACGCTATTTTGTTTAAAACTTAATAATTGATAATTAAACATTTATTTATTATTTTTAATACCTTATACATTAGTTATACTTTAATTTTTAAATAAGTTAAATTTGTATTATTATTATTGTTATTTTATTTTTATGATCTGCACACCTTTAATGAAATGAATGATTTAGACATTAGTTAACCTTTTAAATATGTTACTTATTCAATAAGTATCTAAATGTTAAATTTTCATTAAGATCAAATATAAACATACAATTTGTTTATAAAACTTCAAATATATTATATAATACATAATTAATATTATTTAACATATATGACATTACCATTATCAGTTGTTGTTCATTTATATACAAGCCTTGGAGTTTTGATTTCAGAATTTTAATTAAAATGTATCCCATCATTCTAATAGTTGTATTATTTTTAATACTCTGAAGGTCCTTGAGAATTTCCATTGCTTTATTTGTAGCATCGTCGAAACTAATATTGTTTAAAGGTATTACCTACAAATTAACAACATACATAGATATAAACAGACCAAATCTTTATCAAACAAATTAGATCAGTGACCATATTCAGTAAAGCAATTTTAATTTTAGGGATGCCAAAACTTAAGCAGGTCAATTTTTTCATCATAATAAATAACAAGCTTATGTATAGCACATATATGGGTTTGAAAGATAAGGTATTTTTAAGATATGAATGAATTAAAAAACTTGGAAAGTTAAAAAATGTAAATAGTTTTTGTCATAAATAACAATAATATACCTTCATTTATAAATGATAAATATATATTAGGTATCTTTATGTATTTTATGCATTATGATTTATTAATGTTTCAAATTTTACAGCAAGTCGATAAGATGCAGAAAAAATAGAGGGGATACTTTCATTGAGCTACTAATTCTCCCCTTTATATACGGCGCACCTGACCAAGAGAAATGATTATAATATGTAACGTTCAAGTATCTATTACAGTAAGTATAATATAAAATCAACATTAATTAATACTTAATTCAAACATATTTTATTCATCTGAATTAATATACAGTTATTTAGAACATGTTTTATAATAGATTGGTCTATGACAAGTGTCGCAATAAATAATTAGATTAGGTATTCAAAATTACAAAAAAATAATAATTTTAATTTTCTTTATCAATATCTAAAAAACATCATATTTAACTGATAAAAATAAGATAAATATGAATAGTGAAAAGAGTAAGTCTTTAGAGAATATATTGAAAAACTAATAAAAACTAATAATGATAATTTATAATATTACAAACCATCAGAATTGTTAATTTTATATTTTCTTCTAGTATCTTTTTTTTTTCATAATTTGATAATTGTGTTCCTTGAGAGTTTAAAGCTGATTGTCCTGCATTTAAACTTTTTAATGTCCATCTCAAATCACTTTTACTCTTTAATGATGTCAAAATATTAACGAACAAATTATAATCTAAATCATCCATTAAATTGTTCCTAAAAACGAAGCATAGATCATTAAATATAAAACCATAAATATTAATGTCAACTTAGTATTAAAACAGGTTTATATTAAAAGGTTTTATCTACCTAAAAAAAATAGTAAGAATAAATTTAAATGTAAAATATCAAAACTACAGTGTCGTAAATAGGTAAAATATTAACAAACTTACATTTTTAGAGTACTTATTTTATGTTATTATTAAATAATTTTCCTATGTTTTAATGAAAAACTATTCAAATATGTATAGTAAGGAAAATGTATTTTTGCTTATTGGTTAATCGATCGTTGCCCGTTAGTGTAAAAATAATTGAAAAAATTTAAATATACACTAAAAGAAAGGCAAATTCATTTGGTATTTACCGGCGTGTAAAAATTATTGAATATTATATATTATACAATATTATCTTTCATTGTAAACATTGATAACGTAATCAATTATCAAAATATCATATTATTCCGTCTACAGCATTGAACTCTATATCATATCTATATGGTCTACAGACGTAATTCTATCATAATATGTATTAAATAAATGATTTGTTATCCTGGGTTCTATGATAAATCGATAACATTTAAAATGTATTTAGACCCACAATTTGATTTTATATTGAAGTATGTAAAATAAAATACCTATATAAAAATCATGTTTTTCGTTTGCCGTCTGGACAATACGTCTTGTCCCGTAGGTAATAATCTATAATATCTGATAAACCCCCTCCCAGCGACCAAAGTAGATAGATGTCTCTACTCATAAACATTAAATAAGTAGGTACTTCAAATAATTTTCAAACACATACATTTTTCATTATTACTCATTCTTAATAAAAATTTTATTTATGTTATTTTATATACTATGTAGTCATGTAGTTAAAGACTCTATTAAAAAATAAAAACATAACATACTTAAAATATAATAGGAAAAATTAAAAAAAAAATTATCCGTTTATACTATAATTGTCATAAGTAATTAAAAACTCCGTACTTATATTCAAATACTGAATTTAAAGTTCAAACAATAAAAATGAAAAATTTTAAAAATTGCTTATGTAATAATTTTTAACTGTAAGACAATTTGCAATTATTTATGATTTTTACGAATTTTATCAACATTTGAATTTCAAATGCTTATAAAATAGATTATGCCATTTAAATACCTATTATCATAAATATATAACTTAAAAGTGAAACTTAAGTGAGTTATGTTAATTTTTCAAGCTGTTTGACAGAGCAAAATAATTTTAATCGACAATTATAGAAATATAAGTTATAACTATCAAAAATTTAAAATTTCAATTGTCTATAAATCATTCAAAAAGAGTAGAAATATTTTTAAAATTTTATCACGTATCTATGAAAAATTATTATATCTATAAACTTTTCGTAAAAGTTCAAGTACCTATATTTATTCTATATGGTTATTAATTATTATTTATTCATTATCGAATTATTATAAGATATACTACTAATTAAAAATCGTTTAAAAAAAAAACATTGATTTTATGAGTGAATATCCAATGTCGTAAAGATTTAAGGTTCAAATGTTCATCAAATTTAATCTAACATTCCGATTAATATATTTTTATTTTTTTTTTGTTATAAGTAGAAAAAATAATAAAGAATTTTGTATTCAATTTCTAAATTTTAGACATAGAAAAAATATTTTTCATGAATTTTTAAGTTTTAACAACATATTTCAAAATTTATCGATTTTTGCAAACATTTTCAATTTAAACACTTTTAAAAAAATGTATGACTATGCACTGATATATTTTAGTTTGTAAGTTTAAAACTTACGAGGAATCTTATGTTAAATTTTTAAGCATTTTGGTCTGTTACTGATTTTTTCGAAAAACAGTGCATTCTCAAAAGTATCTAATTACTCTATAATTTAGTGTTTTTTAACCAAAGGTATGCGAGAAAAAAAGGCTATGATAAAAAAAATAGAAAGTTTCATAACATTTTATAATTTATTCATGTTATTATATTTATTTATAAATGACTTATAATTTATATATGATGAATATTAATATAAATGAATAATACAAAAATGAACAGTTGTTACTAAAAAAAAAAAATGTATTCATTTAAAAAAGTATATTCTTACGTTCTTGCGCATAATAATTTTATTGGATTTTAAACTTTGTATTTAAATTCTATATTGTCGACTTCAAATGTTTCATTAATATCATTTTCTGTCAACCATTCATTTAAAAATGCTCTAATCATCTCACGAGCATGTTTCAGTTGAGGAAGATCTGTAGGAGATGGAGGATACATGTTTGCACAATGAGCAGTCCCTGTAGAAAAAAAAACGTTAAACAAAATGAGAATAATATTATTATTATAAATTTATAGATAGATATATAAGAAAAAAAATCAATTATAATATTATCAATCAATAAGTATACCTACATAGATATATTAATTATTGATTACCTTCAATATAAATAGCAACGTTATTTTTTGTTTTTGTGTGAGTAATTCCTAATGCATGCCACGGATCAACAGATCCATGAACATAAATTACTCGGTTTTCTTTTATGTTCAATTCACCGTACATAATATTACTTCTTTTGATTCCATTAGACAAAATATCAAAATTATACCTAAAAAAAAAGAATTTTTAAAGGGACAATGGAAATATTAAACATAACGTACAGTAATTTAGTTATTAATAATAGTTAAAAAAAATAAAGTATCTATATGAGTATAATACCTATACTTTTTCTATATTTTTTTGTTTTGCAACACATGCATGCGTAAATATAGATATGGGATCTCCCAACTTTTATACTCAATGGTCAAATTTAATATAGTTTAAAACTGTACCTATATGCAAGTCAAAATAGGAATGCAATGAACTTAATAACAAATAAGTGCGAATTATTATTAACGGTTGTTACGGCACACATTCATGTATTATAATATGTAATGTTTTTTCCTTGTACTTAAAAAAAATATTAATACTTATTAATAAATTATTAAATGTATACGTATAATGTTATGTTTGTTGGTTTTTTAATAAATATTGATATATGGAAAATAAACAAAATTATACGAATAGATATAAAGAATTTTTAATAATTTGCAGACGGTAGCGCCAGTAAAAGCCTATGAGCGCCGAGCGGTCTAAAAAAGTTTGCATATCATAGTTTTGAAATTTTCGAAAATTTGGCATAGACAATAAACATATTGATTAAATTATTAAAGTATTTATATATTTTTTTAGTGTGTTTTATTTTCTTGCATATGAAAAAAATTCCACTTTGAAATTCTTTGTGAATTAAATTATTTTTAAGTTTTTGATTTTTGATTATTAAACCAGAACCACAGATTAACGCTTGGACCATACATAATATTGTAATATCAACTATCATTGACTCGATAAAATTCACTAATACATTTCAATAATATAATTTATAATATTTAAAATAATAAAAAATTGTATTGATTATAAATATGCTGTTTTATTCAAGAGAGGCTATGATTGATTTTGTGGGGCATTCTCCTCCCCGCTCTCAGCACCCAAATTATACTCATGTTATTGATGCGGAAATGGTACTAATAATAAATAAATATTTTTATAAGCTACTAATTTAAAAGTACATATTATAGCGTGTTAAATACTCATATGAATACTATTATATACCTATATAAAAAAATTAATTCTCTAACATTTTTTTCTTTTAAATTTTAATATAATTTATTATTTATTAGTTGTTAAGTTTTAGATATCAGGAATCTATTATAAATGGCAATTCAAGTGAAAATATTAAACATTATTATAGATTTTAAAACAACAATACATTAATCGTAGTAAATTAAGTTTCTTAATAAGAGAGTTGTATAAGTGCAAAACTACTAAGTAACTTGTTATTACTTTCTAATCTAATTGATAATAAAACTAAGAATTGAACACAGACAACTACAACCTTTCCAATAGAGACATATTCTGCGTTCTTTATCTGCTTAGCTCTGAGTCAGAAAATTATAAATGATTATTTTACCTACACGAATATACAGTATATAAATATATAAACAATCATGTAATAAGAAAAAAATCAATATTAGCCAATACCATTTTACTATTAATTAAGAGCAACAGAATAACGTATTATTTCGGTTACGAGATTAAACAGAACATATTAATTTACAATCAATTACTTTTAACATAAAAGGACGATGTAGAAATGATGTTATCATTTTATTTGTATTAAAATTTAGAAGTTATGATGAGATATAAATAAGAAGGTAGGTAGGTACGTCGTACGTGTCATAATATAACTTTTATAATTGGAAAATGAAAACAGTTATCGCCATCCACTTTAATCAACGTTTTATTTAAAGGTTATCAATTTATCACATATCATCAAATTATTTATGCACCTATTTATCTACTTCATTACCTGATTCAAGTATATATCTATATAAATTATGTTTATAAAAAAAAATATATATAACTATTATGTTAAATAATTAAAAATCAAATAAAAAAAAAAATCTATAGGTTGTACAGTTTAACATTAAAAAAAAAAATTACTTAACCACCACCTGAATGTCTAGTATCTACCTATTTATTATTGCATAATTTAATTTATACTAGTTATATTTTAAGTTACATTCCTTTAAACGAAAACACAAATACACAGGAAAAAAGAACAATTATAAAATATGACACTCTTCAATGTATTTTGATTGTTGGTTTGGCATGTCAATATAAATTAGGGTATATATACCTATGTCGCTATGTGGACAGATCCGATGGGAATACAAAATGAACAATTGACGTATTTCGATTTAAGTATAAATAATATGATAACTTTATGAGCTACATCGATTTATGCGTAAGTTATTGTTATAACAATAATAGTATAATAGTTTAATTAAATTACATTTAATCAATAAAAGTATTAAAAAACAGTTTTTACAGTGCCACATCCTGCCCGACGAGGTTAGAATTATCATTATTATTTTCTAAACCCTCTTGGTAAAATGTTTAAGATTTAAAATGTTTGTCAAAATTAATTAGGTATTGATTAAAAACTATTTTTTAACTCAATAAATCACAACTCCCTATCAACTTTTATTAATATACAATGTGTGTTGTATTTTTTAATAAGTGGACGACATTTATAGTAGTCTGTCATTTCATCGTATAGTATTAAATTGGTTAACATAATCACCTCTATAAT